TTGGCAGGGGGACATGCCAGGAGGACGCGCCGCGGAACGTCCCAAGGGACGCGCCAAGCGACGTGCCACGGGACGTGCCAGGGGACGCTCCTCGCGACATGCCAGGGGGATTCGCCACGGGACATCCTCATGCTAGACACACGCTTGGGCAACCTGGACACGTGCAAACGAGATTTCCTCAGCCGATCCTCAAGCTAGACATCCGCCTGGGCGACCTGGACGCGTGAAAACAAGCGTCTCGCTCGAGACATCCTCAACACATCCTCATGCTAGACATCTGCCTGGGCAACCTAGAAGCGTGATACCAAGCGTTTCGCTCGAGACATCCTTAAGACCTGGGCACGTGAAAACAAGCATTTCACTTGAGAGATCCTCTGAATCCTTGTCCCCAGGGAAGACAATCTAGAACACAAAACAAGCGTTTCGCTCGAGACATCCTCAACAAGTTCTGCAGAACAAGCGTTTTTATGGATTGGCCTTGTTATTCATCACAAACGAAATACGCTGGCCCTTTCGAACTTGGCACTGGGAACAGGTTTACCTACTAAGAGAGAGCCCTGGGCCTAAGCCCTTTCCGGGAAAAATACAATGGTTACCCGAGAGGGGATCAACCATACTTATGGTTTAGATATGGAAGTTTCAACAACAACAACAACAACAACAACAACAACAACAACAACAGCAATAACAACATCAATCATTTTACGAATGCTCGTTCTTATTGGCACGCGTGTCTTGCATTCCGTATACCCCAACCCTCGATACCCGCCCACTTCGTCTTCGATTGCACCCCCTTTCGGTGGAAACCTCTTCCTTGTCGGCCACTGACTGAAGTGCGAATAAGTCTCGAGCGAGAGAGCCGTTCCTGAGTTCGGGGGCCTCTCTGGCCAGGGGCTCTCGGAATACCGATGGAGAAATATCGAGCAGGAGCCCTTGTCGCCGTGTCCGGGCCTCCACCAAATTGCCTGAACTACGGGAAAGTCTCGAGCAAGAGCGCCGTTTCTGAGTTCGGGGGCTTTCTTGGCCAGGAGCTCTCGGAGTAAATCGTGAGGAAATATCGAGCAGGAGCCCTCGTCGTGGCTGGGCCTCCGCCTAGTTGAATTGCGAAAAAATCTCGAGCGAGAGCACCGTTCCTGAGTTCGGGAGCCTCTCTGGCCAGGGTGTCTCGGGGTAAATTGTAAGGAAATATCGAGCGAGAGCCGTTGTTGTCGTAGCTGGGCCTCCAAGGGCCCACATCTAGACTCAAGCCAACGCTCGAGCGGGAGCCTCGTTTTCAGAGAAAATGTAGCCAGAGTCGAGGCGAGAGCGCGCGGAACCGTTTCCGGAGATCACCAATAATTTTTCTTTAGAATGAGTATTCAACAACAGCAACAACAAGAACAAGAACAACATCAACATCAACAGCAACAACAACGAATAGCATGTTATAATTTCTGCCTGATCGCGTGCCACTCAGCACGTATATCCCAAATCCTCGATACCTGCCCTCTTCGACTTCGACCGTACCCCCTTTACGCCCGTATCTTTCTTACATGCAACATGCATTTCGTGCAGCCCCTAAGGCAGGAGAAGGGAGGACGGATGGAAGGGGGAGGGACACGAGGCAGGCGGGTTGCTGAAGTGTGCGTCTTGCATGAATCGCGAGGAAGTCTCGAGCGACAGCGCGATGTCCAAAATATATCGTATGGAATCCGTAGCGAGAGCGTGATTCCTGAGTGTCGAGCGGGCGGCGTTTGAATAAATTGCGAGGAAGTCCCACGCGACAGCGCGATTCCTGCATAAATTGTGAGGAAGTCCCGCGCGAGAGCGCGATGTGGGAATAAATTATGAGGGAGTATCTGGCGGGAGCCGCTGTTGTTGTAAACGAGGGGGCAGGGGTTCAGTTTTGTGACAATTCAATTCCCCTTGTGAAAAATAGGGTGCGAGCCCCGGCAGAAGCATTTTAATTGCAAAATACAATGTTTTGCCGGGGGATTATGATAGCAGCTATGTTTCAGTCATGAGAACCCAACAGCAACAACATCAACATTCAGTTTAAAACTGTTCGTTCTTACTTGATCGCGTGCCACTCAACACGTATATCCCAAATCCTCGATACCCGCTTTCTTCGTCTTCGACCGTACCCCATCGGGGATATGTCTTGCTTACCTGTCACGCACATTTAGCGCAGCCCCTAAAACATGGGAAGAGAGGACGGATAGGGAGGGAGAAGGACAGAGCACGAGAGAGGGCCTCTCGGAATAAATCGTGAGGAAGTATCGAGCGAGAGTCCTTGTCATCAGTGGGTTGTTTCGGGGGGCCTCTGTGGGCGCGCTTGGGGCCTCTGTGGGCTGTGTTGGGGGGCCTCAGTGGGCAGCGCTTGGGGCCTCCGTGGGCGCGCTTGGCGCCTCTGTGGGCTGGGGCCTCTGTGGGTGCGCTTAAGGCCTTTGTGGGTTGTGTCGGGGGGCCTCAGTGAGCAGCGCGCTTTGGCCTCAGGCGCGCTTGGGGCTTCTGTGGGCTGGGGCCTCTGTGGGCTGTGTCGGGGGCCTTAGTGGGCAGCGCGCTGGGGCCTCTGTGGGCGCGCTTGGGGCCTCTGTGGGCCGGAGCATATGTGGACTGCGTTGGGGGCCTTAGTGGGCAGCGCGCTGGGGCCTCTGTGGGCGCGCTTGGGGCCTCTGTCGGCTAAGGCCTCTGTGGGCGCGCTTGGGTCCTCTGCATGCTGTGTCCGAGGGCCTCAGTGGGCAGCGTGCTGGAACCTCTGTGGACACGCGGGGGCCCCTGCGGGCAGTGTCCGAGGGCCTCAGTGGGCAGCGTGTTGGGTGACCTTGTGGGCGCGCTTGGAGCTTCTGTGGGCCGTGTCCAAAGGCCTAAATTAGCAGCGTGATGTGGCCCCTGTGGTTTGGGGGCCTCTCTGGCCAGGGTGCGTAGGAGTACATTGCAAGGGCGTGTCGAGCGGGAGCCCCTGTCGTCGCAGGTGGGCCTCCGGCGCGGCGACTGAACTACAGTCTCTGGCCACGGGGTCTCGAAGTACAGCTTGAGGAAGTATCGAACGGGAGCCCTTGTCGTCGCGGATGGGCTTCTGATTGAATTACGAGAAAGTCTCGTCTGGCAAGGGCCTTTGCGCATACATCTTGAGCGAGCATTGAAATCTCGAGCGAGAGCGCCGTTCCTGAGTTTGGGGGCCTGTCTGGCCAAGGGTTCTCGGAGTAAATCGTGAGGAATATCGAGCAGGAGCCCTTGTCGTCGTGGCTGGGCCCCCGACAACTTGATTGAATTGCGAGGAAGTCTCGAGCGAGAGCGCCGTTCCTGAGTTCGGGGGCCTCTCTGGCGAAAGTGTCGCGGGGTGAATTGTGAGGAAGTATCGAGCGGGAGCCGTTGTCGTCGTAGCCGGGCCTCCAGAAGCCCACATTTACATTCAAGCCAACGCTCGAGCGGGAGCTTCGTTTCCAGAGAAAATGCAGCCAGCGTCGAGGCGAGAGCGCGCGGAACCGTTTCCGGAGATCAACCATAATTATTGTTTAGAAATAAGCATTCAACAACCACAACAACAACAACAACAACAACAACAACAATCATTTTACCCGAACGCTCAGTGTTCTCACCAGTGCCAGGGTTTTCATGCGACGCGAGACAATACCCCCACTTCGTGGGGGGGCAGTTCAAGCTCTACCAAATATCCAAACGACTCTTCGCGACCACCCAAACCCAGCTTCCCGCCCTATGACGTTGGGACACTTCACTTCGTGGCGTGCGGACGACCGTGGCTACTACACTGGCGTGGGGTACACACCCACAGAACTTGGTCACTTATTCGGGGCGCGCGTGTGCCCAGCATCCTGCAATTGTGACATACAATACATGACACAGACAGACAGAGAGAGAGACAGAGAGCAGACAGAGAGAGAGACAGAGAGAGCGGAGTTGGTCACATTTTTGGGGCAAGTTCCTGAGATCGTCGTGTTTTTTGTTGGTCTTGCGCGCGCGAATGTCCACTTTACTTTTTTTTGCAAGGGAGTATTGAAATTTGATTATGTTAGAACAAGAAAAAGTAGCTCGCGCGAGCTCATGTAACATAAATGTTGAAAAACCATTGGTTTTGTGGGAGTCGGACAGCGCGCGCGGGATGAAATTTGGACATTTTTTTTTGAAAAACCATTGGGTTTTTGATGTTTTTATGTTGAAATCGTTACGAAACCTAAGGTTCTGGAAGGATTTCGTCTTGCGCGCGCGAATGTCCACTTTACCTTATTTTTTGCAAGGGATTATTGAAATTTGATTATGTTAGAACAAGAAAAAGTAGCTCGCGCGAGCTCATGTAACATAAATGTTGAAAAACCATTGGTTTTGTGGGATTCGGACAGCGCGCGCGGAAGGACATTTTGACAATTTTTTCTTAAAAAACCATTGGGTTTTTGATGTTTTTATGTTAAAATCGCTACGAAACCTAAGGTTTTGGAAGGATTTCGTCTTGCGCGCACGAATGTCCACTTTACCTTATTTTTTGCAAGGGATTCTTGCAATTTGATCAAGTAAGAACAAGAATTTTCATTTTATAGTGTTTTTTGCAAGGGAAAACGGAGTACAACAAAACAACCGGATCCGGTAATAATTCACTTTTCTGAAGCTTTCGCTAAAAAATGATGAAAATGTAGCTGCGGCCTAGGTTTTGGAGGGGGGTCGCGCACCAGGGGTCCCAACAATAATTATTCTTTAGAAGTAATAATGTTCAACAACTACAACTACAACCACAACCACAACAACAACAACAACACCATCAACAACAACAACAGCATCAACAACGACAACAACAGCAACAACAACAACAAATACAACAACAACACCATCAACAACAACAACAGCATCAACAACGACAACAACAGCAACAACAGCAACAACAACAACAACAAATACAACAACAACAACAACAACAGCAACAACAACAACAACAGCAACAACAACAACATCATCAACAACAGCAATCACAGCAGCTGCAGCAGCAACAAAAGAGGCGGCCTCCCCAGGTGACCGGATGCCAGGGAGAGCGGCGGCAGCAGAGGCGCGTGTCTTTCGGCGACGCAGCGGAGCAGTTTGGTCCGTCGGGGTCGGCCACGCAGGAGCGCCACCTCCAGGACCCGAGGAAGAGAAAGGTGCAGGAGGTGGGTTGGCGGCTGCCATAATCACGCCTCACTCTACGACCTAGATCTCGAGGCCTTTCCAGCCCTGTTGGCGATCGGAGGCCTCCAAACCGAGATCCTAATCTTCTCCTGGCCTCCAAGCCCTCCTTGGCGGCGCGCGCAAATTGGTCACGCGAAGGGGCTGGCCCACTAAGAAGGTGGCGGGGTTTCTAAGAAGGCAGCAGCCTTCGGAGAAGCCAACCCTTTTGTAGGCGCCGCCAGGGGGAAAAGGATGACGAGGGGGAGCATGGCGGAAGGGGGGCAGAGGGAGATTGAGGGGGAGCGAACAGGAGGAGGAGGAGGAGGAGGAGGACCAGTGTAAGTCCAAGAGTCATCAACGATGTTGGAATGAACCCTCCCTCCAAGCTCCCTCTTCACAGGCCCCTGCAAGGTTCATTTCAATTTGGGGGGAACTGCATCGTTGGAAGACAACCGTTTGAAGATCCTGAAGCATGACAAATCATTATTCTCGGGACTCCTACGCCACGTATAAACCTGATTGTTGCGTCTTGACGATCTTGAATCGCGCCAGAGCGCCATTCTTGGGACAACACCGCGAATAAACGGAAGTGTTGCACACTCATACTCCTGAGTAGTTCCAAACACCATGTCGGATACGTTGGCCATGGGAATCTGTGAAGCTCTTGCAATGTTAAAACGGAATGTGCGCGGCTTTGAGGCGAAAGCCACATTTTGAAAACGAGCAGCCCTGAATCCGTCAAATTCCTGCGAATGTTGAACACGAATTTGCGCGGCGCTAAGGCTAGAGCCACATTTTGAAAATGGCCCGCCTTCAATCCGTGAAATGATTGCAAATGTTTGGAACGAATGTGCGCGGCGCTCAGGCGAGAGCCACGACCCGCCCTCAATCCGTGAAAAACTTGCGAATGTTTAGGACGAATGTGCGCGGCGCTAAGGCGAGAGCCAGGTTTTGAAAACGACCCGCCCCTGACCCGTGAAATTGTCTCAAATGTGTAGAACGATTGTGCGCGGCGCTAAGGCGAGAACCACATTTTGGAAACGGCCAGCCCTTCATCTGTGAAATTGTTGCTGAAGTGTCAGCTGCAGGGTCATAAATGGTGACGAAATCAAAGGCGAAACGCCCAGCCCGCCCTTTCGACCAGTTTCGGGGTGCGACAGGGGGAAGTTATGTAGAAGGGAACGGAATGGAGGAGGAGAAGCAGGAGGAGGAGAAAAAGGAGGAGGAGGAGGAGGGGAGGACGGGGAGGATAGCGAGGATGGGGAGAAGAGGGAGGAGCAGGAGGAGGAGGAGGAAAAGGAGAAGTAAGAGTAGGATCAGGATCAGGCCCGTGGGAGTTCGTCTGCTGCTGCTTATTGCCTGCCAAGCTAACTACCTGACTGGTTGGGGCAGGGGGAACTCTGGGGGGGGAAGCAAAACTTAATGCCGCCAAACCGTCCAGTGCGGCCCGTGGCCCTCGACTGACGCCGCACCGCCCTTGCGAGCACCCCCGCATTCGGTACGCAGCATGCCGAGGGGCCCGCAGATAGGGACCAACTCACTCTGCCACCGACCCTTGCCCTTTACGTTGTCCTTCCCTCTCTACCTTGGCTGCAAAACTTCCCTCTGGATAGGGGGGGTGTTCCCTATCTGGGAACTGCAGGCTGACGGGATGTGGAGAGGGCTCGGGTCCAAAACATCTGCTGAGAAGACTCCGCGAGCGATGAGCGCGGCTAACCTCGCACTGCCGCGCATATTCTCACCCAAAGAAACAGTATGCTGAATGTGGTTTGGTCTACTCCTCACTGGTGGTTCACTGCTCATATCCCTCCTTCTCCGCTGGACTTGATATCTGCCAACAGCTTGCTCGCATCCCTCTCCAAAGGGCCGCGCGGGGCGGATCCGATCTTCCTCTCCACCTTGAGCCCCGCGAGCATGCAGTCGATCTGTGTCAGCAAATCCAGCCCGAACCTGGTGGTCGTGTCCACCGCGATATTGATACGTCCACGATTGTTGCTGGCCTCGTCCTGCTTGCCTCGGTTGCATGTCCACTGCCAGTGTAGAATCAAAGAGCCCACGTCTGTCATCGCCCTTTTCGCAATATTCTCCGTCCGCGTCTCCTTCATCATCTTTGCCCACACTGGAACCTTATGCTTGTCTGCTTAGTTGGCCGCCCACATCATCGACGGTTCCCGAGCCCCCACTTGACCGTCTCGCTTGATTTGTGTATGTATTCTAGGCTTCGAGATACGGCGTTGTGATGCTGTCCCGACTCCCCCGTAGTAGTTGCCAACCCTGCGTTTGCGTCCAGGTCGAACGTTCGGAATAACGTGCTGGTGAGTTTTGCCAACTGCCTGCTGTCGTTGAGCACCAGCTTTGCAAGATTGAGAGAGAGCTGCGCCAACGTTGAGCCCGCGAGCTTGTGGAGATCCCCCTTTGCCGTTGCCGATCCCTCGACTCTTTTGGTGGTTGCCTTCTGATGACTAGGCCTGCATCCACTCTGGCATAGCCAGCGCGTCTTCCTTCTCTGGTGGCATCGCCTTCAGGCAGATGTGACGGTAGTCTAGGGTCAACGTACCGTGGAATATGAAATTCCGCCAAATGACTACAGAGATCATCGAGTCCACTCGCTTTGTATTGTTCGCACACTCTGCATCCTAAACTCAAGGGAACCTGAACCGATCGAAATGTTGACGTCCCCGGAGACGGACACCTGCCCGACAGGATCGCCCGTTGCAAGTGTCTGTCCGCGTTGCCCTGGGACCCAAAGGCACGCCGACATACAATACAGGTACTAGCCGGAACAATCGACGATCTCAAATTATGGACCCGATGAATACGTTTCATGTGATTCCGTCGACCTCGTTCAGTCTTGAACCCTCGCCCACACCGTCCGCCCCGTCCCCCAGCCACATGTCCACGGGCATTCCACAGGCTCTTCGAGGTTCTCGCGGTCCGAGCTGTAGGAGCCGAGGCCCGGGGGTACTGCGCACGATGGTTCACTGGATCGGAGATGGGTGAAGTCCAATCGAGCGTGCTGAGCCGAGGTCTCCTTGCTTAAGAGTTTTCCAGGAAGACATGCAATGTGGGCGCCGATCGCGCCTCCGTCCATGCGCTCCGCGGCCTGCTTGAAGTCCTCCTGCTTTTGCAGAAGCCACGGTGAAGCAACTGACGGGATGACCTGGTTGTCTGTCATCGGGATGCCTATGAGATCAAGCGGCATCGCACCGAACATCGGGCACAATTTTTTCTTGTGAGACTCTGGGCTCATGGTCCAACTGCGATACCATCCCAGCCTTCTGACCAGGAGCTCTGTCTCGGAACTGGTCAATGCTGCATAACCTTTTTGTTCGAAAGTGTTCGAATCCTCTCCTCCTCCTTCGATACCACTGCCTTCCCTTGCATAGCCCTCCTCCCGTAACGTGCCATTCGTGCGTCCAATTCTCGATAGTGTGTGGCGGTCAGCAGCATTGGTTCGAGACCCGTCAGCGCCGCGTTCTGCACGAAATTCAAGAAGAGCGTACGCTTCCAGCGAAATGGAACTGGCAAACTCCAAACCTGACCCAGTGAGTAGTACGCCTCCGCTGTGGCTTGAATTCGATGACGAACTTCAACGAAAGCGGATTGCTGCCGATTTATTCGAGGCCCCAGGTATCGAACGTCGTCTTGTAGTTGACCTGGAATATTCGATCGGCCCGCCCCCCTCACCCATTGCCGGCAATGAATGGCCCGTGGTCCCTGAAAGCAAATCTGGATGTTTCGTTGTGCGACGTTCTGTGCGCAACCGAACTCCTGGAGTTCCTCCGATTGTGCTTTGTCTGCCTCTCGAAGAAGCGATAAGAAACCATCCACTGGAGAAAAGTGCGCTGCCACATGGGCTCTGAAAAGGCCGTCGGCGCACAGGCTCGTGCCGACATCCGCTCTGAATTCTTTCCAATGCGCAACCAATTCCTTCGACGAGAGGTCAACCTCTCGGAGACGCCAAAGCCATTGCGTTACTGGCTTCGAGAATGCGCCTCCGACAAGCATCACTATGTGCGTGTCCCCCATCGTGCCCCCCTCTCCCGACCTCAAGTAGACCCCTCCCTCCTTAGAGATTCCAACCACACGGCACTATTGCGAAACCGTTGTATACATAAGTCGATGTTTTCGGGGGCCGCGTGCATTTCCATTGTTTTCGCAAGTTCCCCTTAGGGCCCGCAAGCAAAAGCATTCGCCATGTCATTAAACGTGCACGCAAAGATGAAGCTTGCTCGACGGAGGCGCCAGCGAAGAAGCCGAACTGCTAAAATAGTGTCCTCCCTCCTTCTCCCACGGCAGAGCCCATGCTTTGATCGCCATTGGTGACACGCACAGTAGTCCTGAGTAAAACGCGTTCCCCGTTGTCGGTAAAACGTGAACCGTCCGTCGCCCCACGGATCTTGGCTTGGCGTTTGTTTCTCGATTGAGCCCCCGAGTTGCAGTGTCATCTCATCGGTGTACGGTTCGTGGACCTGATAAGTTTGACCCCCCTCCAGAATTTCCCCAAACAATACATCTCTGGGATCTTTCTGATGGAAGCCCAATCCCTGCCGTGCCGTGCTGATACTCGCCTCTGGACGCGGATGGACAGGCCAAAGCTCAGCGGGTGTCGTCCTTGTCGGCATTGTTCGACACTTCGTGGCCGAGCGAAAATACTTAGTTACCCGCTTCTTGCCCCCGTCTGCCATGATGCAATCCTCTGCCGAAATGTACGGACTGGGGCCTGCTGATATTGACTCCAACCACTCACTGATATTCGCTATGACTGTAGCCGACATGCGTCCTTGACTTCCTGGCTGCGACCAGTGGCCAACAAACGCATCCGTGTAAAAGGTGCCTCCCAAAAGTAGGCGACCATCACGACGTTTAGGCCCATGTATACGTCGAGTTGCTTCCCTTGAAAGTCTCGTCGCCTCCGCCATGCGTCTCCTCTCCCATGCCGCCTCAATAGCATCGATCTGGGCCTGCTGTCGGATGCGAGCAAGATGTTGCC